ATAATATATATATATATATATATATATATATATATATATATATATATATATATATATATATATATATATATATATATATATATATATATATATTATATATATATATATATATATATATATATATATATATATATATATATATAATATATATATATATATATATATATATATATATACATATATATATATATATATATACATATATATATATATATATATATATATATATATATTATAATATATATATATATATATATATATATATATATATATATATATGTGTATGTATATATATATATATATATATATATAATATATATATATATATATATATATATATATATATAATATATATTATATATGTATATATATATATATATATATATATATATATATATATATATGTATACACACACACACACACACACACACACACACACACACACACACACACACACACACACACATATATATATATATATATATATATATATATATATATATATATATATATTGTATGTGTGTGTGTGTGTGTGTGTGTGTGTGTGTGTGTGTGTGTGTGTGTGTGTGTGTGTGTGTGTGGTGCGTGCGTGTGTGTGTGTGTGTGAGTGAGTGTGTGTGTATAGATGTGTGTGTGTGTTTCTCATATTTGTGTATGTGTTTGTATTTATGTATGTTTTTGCATTAACAATCTTCTATTTGGTTGATGATAATGCTTAGTATTAATTCCTCAAGATTAGTACTTACTCTACTTCTGAGTGTTATAACAATAAAAACAATAATTCTACATTCTATTTTCCGTCTATTCATCATCAGTAGTATTATAATTTCTCGGAAGCGATAACACTATGAACACAAAAATTCTACGAACTGGTGCATATCCTTTGAGGATGTCAATATAAAATTATTAATGAAAGGATTAAAACTCTACGGTTAGACCTCGCCACGTTTCATTAACATCCAGAGAAACTCTAATTGCAAATACAAATTATAATGTGATTTGTATCATAATTGTTTTATGCTTACCGGACATAGAATGGGCCGTAATTCTGTGCTGCAATGTTGGATGCTGTTTATAAATGAACAGCATTTTTTAAATTTGCAACACAGACATTGTTTATCATGCTAATAAGGGTCAAATTTGTACACTTCATATAATACCTGAAAATATTATTCATGAATTGCCAAGGTTGAAAAAGTACCATTTGATTTATTCCAGTGATAACAGTTATGATAAAGATAATAGTAATGATTGTTATGCAACCAAAAGACAACAAAAGTAATAATCAAACAACAATAACAGTAGCAATGGCTATAACGATAATGAAAATACTAATAACGATCCTAACAATACCAATAACAACAACGACAATTACAATAACTCTGACGATAATAACAGACAAAACAACAGCCAGTCACAACCATAAAAGAGGTGCTTCTAGGCCAGCAGCAAGTTCACAAGGGACTTAAATAACAATTAACAGGTACAGCACAATGGCGGCCTCCCCTTCTCTCACTGTCGCGCTTGGCTGAGTCTGAAGTACCTTTTACACGCGAGAACAACTCCCAGTCCACGCATTATTGTCCCGCGCTAAGATTCAATTGCTTGTTAGATGATTCTCAAATAACCGGGCCACTGGTGCTTATGGTCGGGGTTATGGATGGTGCGGTCGTTCCCATCACTCTTGTAGCTATCTGTGTTGTTCCTCTGTTCTATTTTCTGGTTTATTGTTCGTTTTTTGTTTATTTTATTTTATTTATTTATTCATTTATTTATTTACTTATTGTTATTATTATTATTATTATTATTATTATTATTATTATTATTATTATTATTGATTATTATATTATTTTGTTGAGATGGGATCCCTTAGGATGTTTTGAAACCTGTCCTGTGAAAATAAATTCTTGTTCCTGGTTTCGTATTATCTATCCTTTTTTTTCGTTTTTTTCGGATTTCTATCGGTTGGTATAAACTAAGGAAATTTTGAATAATGCGCTGTATTACATTTATGCGCGTTATCCATATGGCATCTGTTTGCTGTGTTATCATTATCAGTCGAACAAAATTCAGTGTGACAAATTGCAGGAAAGAAATGATTGTAAGAAACTCCATAGTAGAAGATTTGATTCTAGAACCTTTATTAGAAATCATAGACTCGGAATTTATTTACTCATCATCATCATCCTTTAACCTCCTCCCTCCCCATATCCCTTCCCTCCCTCATCCTTCCTTCCCTTCCCTCCTCATTTCTTCTTCCTCCCTCCCTGTCTCCACCCCAACTTCGTCCCTCCCTCCCTTTCAATCTCTTCGCCTCACTCCGCTCCCTATTTCCTCTTCCTCCCTCCCTTCCCTCACATCCAACTGCCCCATGGTGCCGCTTGTCTCTCGTCCTTCCCCTCCCTCGGCGCTCCCCTGTCCGCCGTCGCCTCGTCTCTCCGCACGGTGCCTTCGCTCTCACTCCCAACTCCGCCATGTGCCCTGTTCCCTCTCTTCCTC